ACCATCTAAGTATCTAGAAATTCTAGCTAGGAACATAACAAAAGTCTCATTTTCACGGGGCCTTTCAGTCCTAAACTTCTTTCTTATACCCATCATCAGTCAACTCAAACTGCCTTAACAAAGCATCTTTTCAGCTTATTCATAATCCGTCCTATCTTCTAATGGAAGCCTATCAAATACCTCCCTAGCAGTACCTTTTAACAGAAACGGTAAGTTTTAGATGACCACATTTCATGTTTCCCCAATTCTGAGCAGGACGCATAAGTTTCATAAACAATTCAAATACGCATCCATAGAATCAATCTTTTTTTCGTCAAATGGTGTCATCTTAACCTTAACCTTACCTACACTCTTCTTACCTAACATATCTCTAACTCTATCTTCATCTTATATTCTGTATCTAACTTCCTAGCTTCTGCTTCCTCCTTCTCTCTTTCTAACTGACGAGCATAATCTAACTTCTCCTTTGCAACACTAGCCTCATTACTTAACTTCTCTTTTTCCATTCCTATCTCTTATTTCTAACTTCGTCCCTAGAAATCGTGGACTTCATAATCTAAACTTCTCTTTTGCTAACCTAGCTTTCTAATTCTAACCTATCTTTCTCAGCTTCTAAACGTTCCTTCTCAGCTTTCTAACTTCTCTTTTGCTAACCTAGCTTCTAATTCTAACCTATCCTTCTCAGCTTCTAACCTTACTATGTCTTTTCTTCACGCTCCCTGGCTTGCTCCTCTTTAACAAAGTTTCTCAAAGCCTCATCTGTATACCCTAACTCCTTTGAACCTACCTTCATCAACTCATTTACACTAGTCATCTTGAACTTATTATGTATATTTCCTACACTGTAACACTACTACAACAACAACTTAGGTACAAGTAAAATCTTACCGTGAGGTTTAGAACAATGATATCAAAGTATCATTAAAGGGTAACACTACAACCCTTAAACACAACACGCTATATTCACTTAGTGCAATCACGGTGCACTATAACACTACACTTCAGTGTAACACCATATAATTAAACGCATTTATCACTCTAGCGCTATAATCAAAATGTACCTTCACTGTACACAGTACTAAAATAAACAATGTATCTATATATTCTAAACACTATACCTCACCACTACAAACACTAAAGTTTCAAACACATCTAAGTATCTCACTAAGGTTGTATGATAATAATCTTAAGTGTACAGTAGACAGTTGGCAATAATTAAAACTGTTCAAAATACTTTAAACTTCAAAGTCCAAACTACGACCCAAAACACAATGTCGCGTAGCACTTTACCCCACAGTGCAAAAATAAAAGGTATATGGCCAGTTTCAATATACTACAAGACACAAAGTAAACACAAAGTAAAATTGTAAATGACACAATAAATTAAATGTTCACCTAGATAACAGACACAGTTTCTTTATCTAGAAAAAGTACACAAGGCGGGTAGTACCTTACATTGCAGAGTGTATGTGTGTATATGTACTTCCGGTGTTTTACCGAAAGGTCACTTTCAGATTACAAAACTGGTGTCTCATCATAAAGTGACACCTAAAAAGGAGGAAAATGGAACGAACTCACCCTAAACGTCCAAACGTCCACTGTCGGGTCTGTGTGGCTGTTATAACCTCTCAGCTGGATAGCTGTCACACACACAAGTCCGTTTCATTTGTCACGGTATCAATCTGAAATGTTAAGAAATTATAATCACACTAAATATAAAAAAAATAATTAAAAGTGATACACAATTTAACTACCTTTAAGTAAACTAAATTTAACTTTTGATTGTAAATAAAATTTTTACTTAAAATAAAAACCAAAGTTTCTAGTGTTAGCTATATAACCTAGCTGCAGTAAAATGAGTGTGGTTTGTTTCAAATAACAACTCTAGTCAACCGGTATCCAATCACGTCGAGTCACCAAATGTCACAATAGGGACTACGATGGGATACCAGGCCGACCACAATTGCTATCTAAACAACCAACAACTCAGAACAGAAAAATTAAACAAAATTTATTTACAGAAATGAATATTATAAATGAAAAATGATTGTATATGATAAACTACTATGATAAGTCACTGCACAAACAAAAACACTATCAACGTATCTCAGTCTATTTCTCCCGTAAAGTTTCTGTCATGATGTTTCAATAAGTGGTGGCGTTGTTAAACAAAATTCGTCACAATGGCGGGCGTTCTTGTATAAAATCTTATCAAGCGTAACTGTACTTCCTACAGTGTTGGCACAGTTGATAGGATCCTGAACAAGGGCATGCGTCACCCTTTAGCCATGGACATACGTGTGGAGGGCCCGTGTCTCTTCGGGTGTGTCCTCAAATAGAAGCTACAAAGTATAAAACATGGTAAGTTCCATGATAATCAAACATAAGGGTATAATAAAGTCCCTTGGAAAAGACTCGACCTTTTGTCGGTTTCCATAAAATAACGTGCTTCTTTGAATAAACAAAATGTCCACTATAGTACACCATACATTCCGTGGAAACAAAATTCAATCACATCCGCATAATACTGCGTTGCAAATATATTCAAATATACGCCACATAATAACCACCAATAAATAAACGTCTTCCAAAATCATGCCACTGAAGATCCTTCTCTAGAGATACGTTAGTTTTTGATACGTTGTATTTACTTATAACAAAAACTGATGATAAATGAAATGAAGTAAGATGATAACGCAAATTAAATTGATTGAAACAAATCATTACGATACTGCAGCATTTTACATAAAGTTACACAAATACGGTAGAACCATAAATAAATTATTTATGAATATATATATCTATAAAATATTCATGGCTCTTATACAATTACAATATAATTAAAACTTCAATTAACATACATCAATTAACATGTCTCGGTATAAATTTGCAATAGCGAAACACTAGAATAAAAAGAGTTTTTAAAATTTAATCTGCAAAAATTTAGAAAACAATAAATTACTGCCAAATAACCAAACCTGAATCAAATAAACTATAATTCTAATAGAAAATAGTATTTTATGAAATAGCAAAAATTTATGAAACAAAATCACTAGAAAATTAAATTTACCTTGTACAAGCTGTAATTTTATGACAAATATAATTTGTCTGTCACCGTCATAGTGACCTGTATAACGTCCAGTGCATTGCAATATGTCACTTAAAATTTAGTCAATATATAGCAAACTACTGAGTACTGAGCGGGAAAACAAATCGTGCAAAACATGAAAATCGATTTGCACGAAATAAAGCTGGGACGGCGGGAAAAATAGTTATGTAAAAAAAGGCCCGTCCTTCAAATACAGACATAATACATATATCTGGTTCATAAAACAAAAATGTAACTTTCTTATTACTGAAAGGATTTTTGTGAAATAAACGGCAAAATGTTTAAATTGATACATGGAAATTTATGCAAACCATAAAAATACTCTAAATAATAATTTCACCCGAAAACTCTAAATTAAACAAAAGATGATGCAATCTCACATCAATGAATATAGAGTAAAAATGAGGTTCGGCGTGAAAATATAATGCAAGATTTTACAAACGTACTTTCACTTTGTGACACTTTCCGTCAGTCATAATTATTATAAATTCAAGTTTCAAGTTTTTATTTCAACTAGGCCCATATGGGCCTCAGTTTTATAAACAGTAAAATTTCACAAACAAATGAGCATTAACAAAACAATAATACAGATGTGTAAATGAAACAAACAATCGGAACGTCCTCAATAACCCCGGAGTTAATACGGATTGAATATCACGTGGTTCAGATCCTCAATAATGTGAAACGAATGTATTTATTTGACATCCAAACGAAGATGAAGTCTGAGGGGCCTCCATGTCCGAGTGGTTAAGGTCGCTGACTTGAGATCACAGGTCCCTCACCGCTGTAGGTTCGATCCTCACTCGGGTCGAAATCTTTCAAGTGAGGAAGCCATCCAACTGGCTTCGGTGGTTCTACCCAGGTGCCCGCTCGTGCCTGAAATAATGCCCGGAGGTGCACCTGGGGTCTTCCTCCACCAATAAAAGCTGGAAAAAATCGACGAAAAAATATCGGCGGGACGCTCTAGGATGGCCCGACTTGAGTGTACGATCGCCCATATGGGCTTTCCGGCGGCGACCTTAAATAAACGCATTTAAAAAAAAAAGAAAAAAAAAAGATGAAATCTGTTTCGGTACAATTATGACTGGCAATAGGTCTGAAAACCATTTTTGATTTAAATATGCCCACTGATGTACAATTTTTTAACAAATTCGGGTTGGCATTTTGTACTTTCGGTTTCTACACTATATAAATAATGTATTGCTTGCTTTTGTTTCTATAATTCACTTATTTTAGGTGGACATTTACTTGATATATTGAAAAAAGACTTGTCAACATCTCTCAACATTAAATTACTACATGTATTTGTTTACATGTTTAGTTTCTTGGCATAGGTTAGTCCGTATTGTGTTCGAAGTCCTTATCCGAAGACTGACGAACCGGGCCGAAAAAGTTCGATTGATAATAAGGATTATGAATAATGGTCGAGGTGTTCCGATTGATTTTCGAGCTCAAAAAGCAACAGAAGGAAAAAGAAAACAGGCTAATTAATGAATAACCTTTTAGGATCCTACAAAAGTACAGCAAAAAAGCATATGAACATTTCTGGGGCATAAAAGGCCTTTAACAAAGGCGGACCATATAGTGTCATTTTTTAAGAAAAGTAAAAAATATTTACAATGCAAGGAATGAATTGCATGTCATTTACGAAGAATGTCTGATTTTGCAGTATTTATCATCATATTTCTACTGCGTGACTAACTAAATAATGGCTAGTTTGAATATTTTGATCTTGATTTGGTAATTTACGTGGAATTATTTCCAGTTTTGCAATGTGTAAATTACAGTCTTTGTTCACTTGACAATATTTTACTCTTTGATACATCTTCAAAAATTTCATCAAAATGAATCTTGAAGCATGCTGCTTTAAAAAGAAAAGAAAACGAACAAACATATGCAAACGATTATATTATATGCTATTCTGCCCAAATACATGCAGGAAACAAACAAATCAGACATCTATAGCTATTTAATATATTTTAAATCGTTTATTTATATGTATTCTGGATCATCCAACAATTTGATTTGCATCCCGTGCTCTGAAATGAACAAAAAGCTCATGTTTTAACTCCTTCCCTGCTGGGAACCAAAAACCGGGCAAAACCGTCTTATATCCTAAGAACAAAACGTAACGATTTGACTTATTTTAAAACGAAAAGCAACTTAATTGCTCTAAATGAAATGTGTATCTATATTTAGATTATTGTTTAATTACAAAAAGCTGGGATATTTGAATACATGTATTCTCAACTGAATTCGATTTTAAGAGTTTAGCAAATGTTACATAAAAGAAGTGCCTAAATTCAATGACACACGCACAAACGCACGTGAGAGCACGTATACAAACACATATTTTCATAAGTTAAATAAGTTTTGAATTTGTTTATCTTACGAGAGTTCGCAAATGAAGCCCTCTGGTAGATTGCACGGCGCATCATTCCATTTATACTGCAGGCCATCATATAATGCCAGGCAATTTTCAGATGTACCACTGCTTGGCTGACCCGGTGCCCAGTGCGTGTATTCTTGAACATACTCGTCTTTCTTTATCCAAACCCACGTGCCCTCATGCGTGACGTCATTAGCCCCCAGCCAAAAGTCTTTTCCAATAGGATTTGCTGGCAAAAAAAAATCTCAATAAGTACAATACAGGTCTAAGGTTATAAATCAAACTCCTATCTCAGGTATTTGATTGGTCAGAAATTGGTACAGAATGTACACTGACCAATGAAATTCCTGAGATTTGAGACAGAACTCAGAAAAAAAATGTTTTTGTAACCTAGAGTCCAGACCATTGTGTTTTTAGAAAGTTTAATGGAACGATAGTGAATCAAGTTGTGTCTTGTACAAATTTAGATCTTAGCTGTTAAATTTTAACATATTTCTCTAAAGAATTAACAAAAAAAATAGTTTAATAATCGTATGATTCATCCTCCTTATGATTCATTCATTCATTCATTCATCTCATAAGGTATTCTTTGTTTCGTTCGTCCGTCTGTCGTCCAAAATTTATTCGTTTGCGCGTTTGTGGCTTAATTTCATTTTTTGCTGTTTCAACCTATCTTGTTGAGAACTTACACCATTGGGTAAAACTTGGCTCCTTTCTTAAAGATAGCATCATGCATGACAGAGTTGTGGCCCTTGTAGGGAAAAATAAATCATATTGGCCTCTTCTGCATAACAACAATTATTTGATATGAATCAAACTTGGGCAGATTTTGATTATTTTCTCAATGGAACCTGATCCAATCCTGCAATACGAACGTTTGCCTCTTTTAAGTGCATAAACAGGCATATAAATGTATTTTACCTTGTCTGCATAAAAATCTTTCATTCATATCAAATATAAACCAAACATGCACATTGCTTGAATAACTTGTAGTTATTGCTACGTTTTTAAGCAGCTTGGTCCAAATATACGTAAAAGGGTGAGTACCCATAAGACAAAAATAGGCACAAGGTTTTTGTCTTTGTTAAATTTTAAAGTTCAAAATCGGACCACTTGATTGCACGCTAGAGTGAACTTATAATTCGACTTTTAATTACCTTGATCGTGACTTTCTCTAGTAATTATTCTAGGGGTCATTATGGTTGAAATATTTGGACAATCTTATGTTAAACCTCAACACTTAATGTGTAAAACTAAAAACGTTTGAAGACCTATCCATGAAGTTTAGACTCGATGAAATAACATTCAAATAAAGTCAGTCTGGTTTGTTTACCTTCGCACCGGAAAAGAACCAAACGGGCGAATGAATTTCTGTGTAAAAATCTGTGTAGAAACTTACGGAAAGCTTTCTTCAGTTCATTTTCAAGGAACAGCTGTTCCGACTCGGACTCCACGGTAGCCAGTGTTCCCTCTCCGCCACCATATATTTCACAGTATGCCTAAAATAATGAAAAAAAAAATAATAATAAATAAATAAATAAGCAATAAAACCCCCACAGTGACCGTCAGTAATAAGATGACAACGTCTTTAAGGAAAGGGAGACAAATTAATAAATAATTCTTTAAAGGCCCATTATGCCTCAGAAATGATTTTTATTTTTATTTCTGAAAATATTTTAATTTTGGTGTACTTATATAGTATCCAAAAAGTTACTCATTGTTAATTACCTGAACCATTTTTTTCTTCATTTGTTGCCTTTTTGTCAATAAGAACAGTTTATAGTGCATAAGTATTTTGTATGGAAGTCAAAATACTACTTTGTTCACATTTTGCTATTTTTATGAAAAATTGTTACACATTTATCCATTTATTGCTACTTTCTTTAGGTATCAAGCCTCTAACATTCTCTAAAACTATTATTTAAACATTATAAAACTCATGTTTGCCCATCATGAAGAACCATTAAAAATGCATTTGTTTCTGAGGCATAATGTGCCTAGTACTGTATAACTAACCATAGCTTCCCACCATTTTAAAGTGGGTGTAGCGAAGATGTGGTAACAGGAATTTTCGTGTTTTACAAAATCTATTGGACATCCTGTAGACGTCTGCCGCTCGAATATGTTGCCCAAAGCTGTAATAAAACAAGCAAAAAATAGTTTCCTTAATATAAGAATATGCTTTAGATTTTGTTATTTTTAAAGTATTATTTTATCATGGTACGATTGAAGTCGCACGTGTGTGATCTCACAGGTTTACTAATTTAGAGTATTCATAATGTCAACATTATAATAATTATCTCCTCAAAGGTTCAACGTACTACTCCTGTTTACAAATTGAAATTAAAACGTGCAATTTCGCATGAACCATTTCATAAACATGTTTACAGACATGCTCTGTGGTGGTAGACTTAGTTTTAGTAATTGTTAAAAAGACGCACGTCATTCACATACATTAATTATCTATCTCGCATTCTTTAATCTTTGCAGAATACGATTTTTTTTTTGTTTATTTTTTAGTGCTTAATTTCGAATCTTATATTTCCATTTTCCTACCTAAATTCTTATATTCGATTAAACTTAATGCGTAGCTTAGTTACATATGTGAAGATTTTTATGGATATAATGAAAACTTTCTTACTGTTACATATAAGAAATAGTTGTGCTAAAATGTACACAAGTTTCGCCATGTTTCTGTCTGAACAGTAATGACTGCCTTATCTATAAGGTCATAGGTCATTGCCATCGTATTTTAAAGATAGCTTCAATTTAGGTTAATACATCTTCTTGAATGTTCGACTCAATTGAGTTTAAAGTCGCATCATGATTGTTAAGATTATACATGTGACTGAAGGCGTTGGGCGCCCCTCCGAGCATTATTTCTCAGACCAGCGAGCACTTGAGTAGAACCACCTTACATGAAAGAATACAAATTCCCCATCAAACTTAGATCCCGCAGCGTTGACTGGCCAGTGGTTGTGTCGTATAAAGACCTTTTGTGGGTAGCGAGTTAGAATCTAACCGTCTAATGGTCAGCTGTATTGCTACAAAAGTATCGTGGTAGTGGATATAGCTGTCCTTTGTACTTCCTTTTTATCTTAACAATGCCTGGTAAACGTACTATTTTATTTTTTTTAAAGAAATAAACTTATAAAATTGAAAACTGAAATCTCAACAAATATTGTTAGCCATAACTTCAGTCGGCCTTACGACCACGATCATTTTCTGGAGGGAAAGACCCACGATGTCGAGTTTGATATACTTAAACTGTTTAAAGGCGTGATAAATAGTTTGATTAGACATAGAATAAAAGATCTCCATTCTCATCTGTTGAGTTATGAATTCATCGCATGAAGACAGACGACCCTTAATCACACGACCCTCAGAGCTATGGTTTTGCAGATATTTGCTATACAACTCGTGTAAGGCCAACTTTGACGTCATGGACATAATTTGCTCATGGACATAATTTGCGTGAACAAACTTGTTAAAAAACAGCTTAAAATGTTTCATTTTAAGGTAGCTCGCTACTTTCCAACCGAAATTTGACAATATCTCAGATCTTGATGATTTTTGGTATACAGACATGTAGATATGTAAGCTTTACTTCTGCAGCATTATTTTATAAATAAACAGCGTTACTATGACGTCAAAGCGCCCTCTATCGGTGACGGCGAAAGTGCGTCTTTTTTATCAATAAACCGGTCTGTTCTTATCAATTTTCATCCGATTTCCTTCATTTTAATTTTATAGTGTTCAGTAAATGTATGTTTTTGTAACGATGTCTTTCTTGAACATTTGCTTAATACTCTGCGATTCTACGTTATTTTCCCTCACGTTCTGACGTCCATATTTGATGCAAATATCGCGCGATATCGCAATAAAGATTGTGAAATAATAAAAAATCAACACGGTGAATTTTGCTATAATTTTTTTAACATGTAGTGAAGTCATTAAAGAAAATCTTTATGCAATAAAAATATAGGGTCAACGCGTAGGATATTTTTGCTATTACTATTTGAATATAAAATAAAGGGTGAGTAAAACGTAATGATTTTGGTGACGTCAAATATTTTTCTCAAGGAAATTTTCACGACTTTTCCGATAAATATCATACTGGCAGGAATAAAATGTGTGAAAACCATTAACAACAATAGTATTTAGACATGTTCCGTAAAAATGTTTTTTTTAAAAGTCCTGTCAGAGATGCCTGCATTTCGATGAATATCTTCAAATATATACATGTACAACAATTCAGGGTAAAACTGTCTGCAAAAGTTGGTATCAATCTCTGAAAAACTGCAACGAATGGATATAAATACCTCATGTACTGAAAGACAATTCAGAACATTGAAAAATATAATTAAAAGGTCACCTAAGTGGAAATTATAAAAACAAAATTTTGCAAAGAATATCAGAAAAAGAGAATGAACAGGCTGGTGCAGTCGCAATGTGTATCCCGGTACAAACTTCCATATTATCATATGTAACAATTTTGAATTGTATAATTTTTATATCAGTAAGTAGGAACAGAGACATAGATAACATCTATGTCTCTGGTAGGAAATAAATCCAATTTACGTTTCAAAAATATATGATCAACTGGAAGTAGCAACGATTTGTACGTAAGTCATGATTCACTGGTAGTCTTAATTATATTATAAAATCTAGCAGTCATTTAATTCAAAAATTTCTACACGTATAAAAATTTATTTATTGACAGCCATCAGTTATTCTATTTTCTCTCGCAGCTAAATATCCTGCACTAAGCGTGGGACTCAGATTTAAAGCAGGAATCACGCTCTCATGCTATGGCTTTAATTTCTCACGTATTTCACATATAATTACAGATATTCTTATTTATTTTAAACTAGCTGACTCGCGGTATGCGTTTACTAGCGCATCTTTGAGGCGACCTGAAGCCGCGACCATTTCTCGATTAGAGGCGAAAGATCCGTTTATTTATTTTGCATATTAAATACAGATTCCCTTGTACTGAAGGCGATTATGTAGGATTCTCAATTTGTGTGATTATGGTTGTGGGAGAAGCTCGTTTGTCTGCACATAATGCAGTGCTATGTAGAGCCTATCAAAATAATGAACTATGCATTTTATGTTTTATATCTTCTTATTTTTTTTAATATTGGGTTTAACGCCGCTTTCAACAGTATTTCAATTATAGCGGAGGAAATTTAACGAAACCAGTGTTTCTCACAGTATCAACTTCTCTTTGGAAATGAATGACAGGAGTCCGAGGTGGACCTTGAAACATTTCATTCACAGTAAACAATTCTAAAGGATAATACGCAGTACAATACGCAGTCGTGTCTCGAATCCATGCCTTACGAATTCTGCGTAAGACCTCTTTACCGATTACAACGTGGCAACAGAAGAATATTCAAAGTTAAATACCTGATTATGATCTCCCTTAATAAGGGAGAAGTTCACTTTATTGTTTACATCATGAACACGTGTTTTTGGTGTGTGTTTTGAGGTTGTTTATTTTTTTCTTGTTTTTTTATTTTTGTTTTAAAGCAAACTGTATTGTATTAAAAAATGAACAAGATAACGTCAACATAATACATTATTCGTATTCAGTGGTAACAAATGTTGCACAAGTTATTTAATAATTATATTTTGTATTTAATTAAAATATACAGTATAACCTTTACAGAGAAATGCCCTTTGTTGCCTAGAGTGGTTGCCCTACAGAGGTAAAATGTAGTGAGCTCTTTAGAAATAAATAATACTTTGAGCCCGCTATGTTATACTGTTATGAAAAGCGGTAATGAATCCGAGTTGAGTAATGGTTATATTGGGTGTTTCACATTCGAGTCTGCAGTTGCGAATATGCTTATATATTTTTATTCAGTATGATTTTGCTTCCGTTTGTCACATAAGTGCTCATTTTCTAATTATCATGACATTTTAATTAGATTATAATTATATAATCTATGTATTGCACAGACTTAAAAATGGTAAGCAAAAATAAAAATAAAATAAAGGTTTTTTTTCTTGTACAGTTTGTTTTTAAATATTCTTAAAGGGACTCCACTGAGGTTGAAAAGCCAAACACATAACATTTGAATTTCTTACAAAAATGACCTGGGGCACTTTAAACAGAAATATATGCGAAGATAGTTAAGAAATATACTTTGAAATAAATTGAAAATCGTATTTTTATGCTTTTGTTAGCCCGATTTGGGTGAAAAGCGTTTAAACGCTTTTCATTTTGAATAATTATTCTGGAAAAACGAAGTGCGCGAATGCTCTGAAATTTTGCACAAAGATTAATGGTCTAACCCTACATCAAATGGTACATTTATCTGAAAAAAATATTTTCAGTTCCATCATGTCAAAAAACCTCAGTGGAGTCCCTTTAACATATTTGAATTTTATTTATCACTTATTTCGGCACATTTGTATGCATATCTATTTTAATTGTATTTTTACGATGTGTTTTGACACACGAGGCTCGTCTGCCTTTATGTGATTTTTATGAAAGTGTTTAAAAGCTGAATGTAACGTAAAATAAATATTCTACGGGTATAAGATAAGCAAACTAATATTCTTACTTCATTCATACAGCAATATGTTTATCTTATTTTTTGCGCTGAAACTAGTTAATTCATATAATAATATAAACACTTTAACAACATCACATTATAAAATTAGAATTAAAAGATGTATGAGACAGTGTCCTGCAAATAAGGAAAGTATTTAAAAAGGGATTGTCGGATTAAACATTGTAAATGTGCTCATCTAGCACATGCTTTCAATGAGAAAATAATCACAATTTAAAAAATATACATTTCATCAAGTCCCTGTGATGTTTATACTTACTATCGTAATGTCTGACGTAAGAAAATTGTTATTTGAACTCCAACATCTATTAACGTCACCAAAAGCATTACGTTTCACTCACCTTTAATTTTATTTTAAAACAGTAATAGCAAAATATCTTACGCGTTGACCCTTTATTTTTATTGCATAAATATTTTCCTTCACTATCTCACTACACGCTCGGAAAATTCTAGCAAAATTCACCGTGTTGATTTTTTTTATTACACAATCTTTATTGCGATATCGCGCGATATTTGCATCAAATATGGACGTCAGAACGTAGAGAAAAATGACGTAAAATCACAGACTATTGAGTAAATGTTAAAGAAAGACATCATTACAAAGACATTCATTTACTGAACATTATAAAATTAAAATGAAATAAATCGGATGAAAATTGATAAGAACAGACCGGTTTATTGATAAAAAAGACGCAATTTTGCCGCCACCGATAGAGGGCGCTTTGACGTCATAGTAACGCTGTTTATTTATAAAATAATACTGCAGAAGTAAAGCTCACATATTTATACGTTTGCATACAAAAAATCATCAAGATCTGAGATATTGTCATATTTCGGTCGGAAAGTAGCGAGCTACCTTAAATATCATATCACTTATAACCTGACCCATGTAAAACTATCTTGTGACATATGGGACAGTGTCTGAATTCTTCATAGATGCAAAGTAAGTAGACAACATATCTAAGCTGTTGTTGGATTTGTTGTTTCGTGAAAGATTTATTTTCAAAACATTTTACATTTAAGATCTATTTCCGGTCCCTAGATAATTATTCAATAATTCAAAACATTTTTATCAAATTGGTAGAGTTTCGTACAAAGTACATTCGAATCAAGTTTCAGTGGCTTCTGAAATTTATTTAAATGAAAATT